TTCCTTAATATATTGACGCTACTATAATCATTTATTTCATCTTTAAGCGTTTGAATTTGCCACGTAATAATGACGTAGTCAAGCTGCAATTCTCATTGGTTGTCTGGCTTTACGATGCGCAAGAGCATACCCTTGTATTTCTATTTCTACCATGTCTATGTTTATGTCTGTGCCTTTTGTGTGTGTATAGTAGACTTACGTCATCGAGCAAATGGTGGCAACTGTGGCAAGTGGTAGCTGTCAGAATCAACATCAGAAACATGATAGCGTTCGATGTGACTGTAAATGTTGAAAATCTTTTGTTCATAGTGCAAACAAATTCATAAGTGATAATTCCGCCAAATAGTGCATCGATGAGAAGTGAATGTGCGATGAAAAATAAAGCTGTTACGCGCGATGCGTTTCACATGTTCCAATATTCATTGTTAAATTTGATGAACACATATTTCGGGTGTGGATCATTTGTATCAAATTGACGTTATACCGATTGACAAGTGGTTGTGTCTGTTGAATACTTGTTGCGTATAGACTTTAGTAACTATCGCAATACATTATGTTCGCCACTCTGAAGAATAAGATACGCGAGGAGATAGGCAGTGACGTGTCTACCGTCATCAAAAATGCTGGAAGTATACGCGGCATTAATTCTAAACATGTGTCCCAGGTAAGTACATTCAGTATTATCAGTGCAGTATTATTCTTTGCTTTAATAATTTATTTATTAGTCATTGATGAAGTCAGATGGCGTTTTTTAATCTAGCAAAATAATCTTTCTTTAAACAGTGTTAAAGATTGAATGTAGATATATTCATATTAAGATTACATTATTACATTTTTTATTCTTATCTGTATGTTGATACAAGTACAATTTACCAAGAAATAATAATTTACTATTTTAAATTGTTGTATTACTTCGTCTAACTATACATAACCTTAACGTTCAAAAGTGTCTTTATAGGTTATAATCCTATATATAAAAGGGATAAAAAAGAAGTAATTTTTAGCTCTAATGTACGCTTTATTTAGTATTTGATTTATTTTATAATAAACATTAAATTTATTTAGTTATTTATATATAAGCATGCATAATAAATTTATATATTTAACTTTTCCACAACTGGCGGAATTGTCAGTTTGCTATTGCTGAACGAGACAGTGAGCTACGAGCATTATTTTTCCGTGGATATAGAGTACATGTCTGTTACATTGTAACGCGACAAATTTATTATTATTACATAAGTAATTTTGATTGATGAACGAGAATGTAATAGCATCAAATAGCATTTTATTACATAAACATACAAACATAACACTTCTTATTTAAATCTACACATTTAATAATACAAATGCAAAATGAATGGCATAATGTAATCATAATATTTATATAGAGACAAAAATAAAAAATGTAAAACAAATTAATATTAATATTCTGTGTTTGATACATCTGAAAACAAGATGTTATACATACCTACATCACATATTGCAACAATAGTTTGTTTTCTTTTATTATTTCACGAACATGCAACACAACGTTTCAATTGGTTATTTTTTTCAGTTTTTTTTACATATAGATGGAAAATGAGTTGCAAAATGATTGACTTTCAAATTTATACTCATACTAGAATTACAATTTCTATTTTAATATTTGTGAAATGTTTCTTTAATTAATTGTAAATAAAATTTTGCCATAGATATCTCTTTCTGTTTTTTTAACTTGTATACAGTAGGCATTCCACACACAAATATCTAATAAATGGAAGAAATATTTCTTATGCCATTTTGTGATTTTTTTATTTAAACAAAAGAATATTTACAATCATATCAATTTTATTTATCTTCTTTGATTATAATGTATACAGGTTTAAAAATACATCCTTTTATTTGCTAATTTTTTTCTGTATCGATGAATTTAGCAAAATAGTAATTGGATAATATACACTTCTCCCTTACCACTTCAAGAGAATGCTGGAGTTGTCTATTACCAATCAAACCGCACATTTCGTACTTTTTAATTTTTTTTTGTTGCTTTCCTCATTGTATTTGTATTTTGCTTCTCGCACCGTTTTGTCATGGATGCATATACAGGGTGAGAGTCATTTAAAGTAACGCACTAAAATATCTTGAGAATAAGACATGAAATTGAATGGTAACATTGGTTTGATCTTTGGTAGTGTTATCAAGATCGGGGAAAGGTCACTTTAAATTTTTTAAATGGAACCTTCCATTTTTTTATTACATATTCCTGGAGCTTATCTCGAGAACTTTTCAAAACACTATAATAAAATATTTTTTCCATTATGCACATTTTGAGTTATAAGGCTTGAAAGTTACAGTACCGCTAGTATTAGCACTATCCAAGATATCTGAACAATGGCTAAAACCTTTTGAATGTTGTTCAGGGTCATGATCTTGACAATATGTCAAGATAAAGGCCATCAAAGGTTGTTGCACTTATTTTTATTTTTTTAAAAAGATGGACAACCTCCAATGGTCATGACATATGTTGTCAAGCTTCAAAAAGATTTAAAAAGTTTTAGCTATTGTTTGGACACCTCGATAATGCTAATGCCAGCGGTACTGTAATTTTCAAGCTTCATAACTTGAGATTCACTTAACCAAGAAGCACTTTATTATAGTGCTTTGGAAAGCTCTCGAGATAAGCTATAAGAATATGCAATGAAAAATGGGGGTTTTATTTAAAAAATTTAAAGTGACCTTTGCCTGTTCTTGACAATGTCATTCAAGGTCAAGGTCAATGCTACCATTTTTGTTTCCCTTGAAGTCATATAACTAAAGTAGGTACTTTTCGATGTCTTAATCTCGAGATATTTTAGTACGTTACTTAAAATGACTCATCCTGTATATGTATAGTCAATGTGGAGTCTTTTATGTTATATGTTTATGGGACGTACATATACCAAATTTTTAAAATATTGACGGTCATCAAGTAATAAAATTCATAAAAATTATTAGTCCCCAAAATTATTATAACATCCCACTTGATAACCAAATATTTTTTATTCTACATTATACAATCGATCACTATTTATTAAAATATATAATATCAAAATAATAAGTAGGGGAGACCGGGGCTGTTTGATACATGGGGCACGTTGGTACATTCAAAATTGCTGCAAAATGACAAACGGTAACATTATATAAAAAATTAGTATTTCCGCAAAAAATTGTAGTCATGCTGCATTTCAGAAATAAAAAATAATTTCAGTTTTTGATAGCCAAAAGTAAAATAAATCAGTGATATATTAAATGTTATGTCATGCTGCATTTCAGAAATAAAAAATAATTTCAGTTTTTGATAGCCAAAAGTAAAATAAATCAGTGATATATTAAATGTTGTATTTATAAATTTGCTTATTATATTATAGTTCCAACTATTTTTTTAGAATCTTTACTTTATAAGTAATAACTTACAGTTATATTAACGTCTTAAAATATATTTTTTTGCTTAAAGCAACAATTAAAAATGTGTAAATATGATAAGTCGAGGCTGGTTGTGGCGGGATATGTTGTTACAGGGTTTATTTTTTGTTTTCAACCGAAACAAATTTAAAATAATGTTAGATTTCTTTACTTAGTGCAATCTTATACGTGTGCTCTTCCGATCTTTATATTTTTTTCCACTGTGATTTATGTAAGAGAAAGACTGATAAACATTTATGTTTATATCATTAATGTTACATTAATGTGTATATTTTATTTGAAAATTATAAATAAAGTTATGTTATGCACAATTTTTTATATTTCTTTCAATTAAATGCGTTATATTTTGAAATCTGGATGTGTAACGACTGATTTCAGTTATTGTAACAATTAACCCCGCATATGGGGCCGGTTGTTACAAGTTGCATCACTTTACATTTCCCATTAATACAACAAAATTATATTATTAAATTATAAAAATAATTTCTATGTTGTTGAAGCATGGCTATTGAAAAATATTTTTGCGATATTTACTTCATTTATTACTTACATGTTAGAAAATTATTTTAAAAAAACTGTATCAACCGGCCTCCCGGTCTCCCCTATATAATATTTTTAAAAATATTTATCATTTGTTGCAATAAATTCTAGCTACTACAAATCTCTGTGAATAGGTAAAATGTCTATCATGAAAAGTAAAAAAGTTCAGGTTTGAATTTTAGTTGATTTTTTTTGTAATAAATTTCTTGTTGATTTATTAGTAATTCAATAATGTGATTACACAATTTTTGTTTTGGTATAAAATTGTGCCTTAAGACTGAATTGGTATATGTTCAAAAACATAAAAGCAGAATGTATAAAATTCACAAAAAAATATTAAACATAAAACTTTGCCCAATAATCGAAAATATTAATATTTATTTATTCTTGATTTTTTTATTATGAGAGAACAAGAGAGCAAGACAATCTTGTTATATAAATCTTCTTAATAAATACCGATTTTTATTACATAAATTATTAATAAATATTATCATATATGTTTATTGCAGATAGGTTCTACAAGTAGTATTAGTGGTTCTCAAGTATCATTAGATGGATTGAAAGAAGAAAATGCATCATCCCCTTTACCACCTATTTCACCGAAAAGAGAGAACAGTTTTGAACTCAAACTCAATGACGGAATGCAATTATCTGTAAAAGATATAAAAAAGTTTGAAAATAGGGAAGACGAATGGAGAAAGCGTTTAGCAAAGAAGGAGGCAGAGATATTGAAACGGATGGAGAAAAAAGAGGAAGAATGGAAAGTTAGACTTTTTGAAAAGGAAAAAGAATGGAAAAAAGTTGTAGAAAAACAGGAGAAAGAAAAACGACGATTAGAAGAAGAGATAAAAAAAATAGAAGTGGCAAAACAATCGTTGGAACATGCTCTTAAAAATGCAGAAGGTACTTTCAGAATCTAATTTGTAGGCATTACTTGTTTGTCTGTACTTGTTGATTTTTTATTATTTACATATTATTTGTAAGCGTAAACATGCAAGATATTTAAGTACAATTTCTAAAGTCAAATATCTTTTGATATTTTTTCTAGGGATCATTTGTAACTAATAGCGAATTTGATTGGACGCACTAGTGCATATTAATGTTGTATTGTTCTAATCTCAATGTAAAAGTGAAATATTTTGAATAATAAAATGTCAAATATATATTTTACCAAATACATAGTACAATAATATTAAGAATTTTATTTAAACACACATCTTTACGTTAATTTGTGTACATACAACGATTTTAATACGCATTAGTGCGTCCAACCGAATTCGTTATAAATTAAATGATTAAGGGCTCTGCCTAGTAAAAGTCTGTGTCTCGGCCTTTAGTCTGCAGCCACGAACTCCGTTGACGGTGGCGACGCTATATCGCGGTAAAAATTAGAAGCTTCTTGTCATATTAGGCCCGTTCTATAATACGTTATATTGGTGTATTTTAAGTCGTTTTAAACCAATAATTCTACAGAATATATTGTATGCCGATATCGTAAGCAGTGTAAAATTGATCAATCACAGTCGAATATGAAGAGAATACTCGATTTGAAGAAAATAACGGACCTACTGTGAAAAGTGTTGACAACGAATTTTATGTTGCGTGCCATTTCGTTATTATGTGCTTAATTGTACTTGTCTCGTATTAGATGTGTGAAGTTGGCAGTGTTGGCACCTTCAAGTTTCGAAATCGCAGTTCTGATCAGAGTTCTGGATTACTCAGACAAAAAGGAAAAGTTCCTGATAGTTTTTAAAAATAGTTCTGTCCATTATACATAATAACAAAAACACCTTTTGAAAAATGAGGATGCCAAGTTTACACCTAACTATAGCATCACCTAGTTCTGATTAATTTTTTTGATGTCTTTTATCGAGTACTGGAGTTCCTAATATAAAAAAAAAGCTTTTTTTAATTTTTTCAAAAAAATAAAGAATTTTTATCCATCTCGAATAATTCTGAATAATTCATTTGATGTCTTTTGTCGAGTACTAGAGTTCCTGATAGATAAAAAATATTAAATCTTTATATTTATTTCAAAAATTCCCGTTGAAAGTCACAAAATGATCGAAACGATTTCTCACTCGAATACTTCTTAATTACTGAGTTCTAGATTACTCGGACGAGAAGGAAGAGTTCTTGATAGTTTTTAGAAATATAATCATTATAACAACGTAAACACCTTTTGAAAAATGGGGATGCCAAGTTCACATCTAACTATAGCACCGCCTAGTTCTGATTAATTTTTTTGATGTCTTTTATCGAGTACTAGAGTTTCTGATATAAAAAAATTTTTTAATTTAAAGAAAAATAAATAAAAAAGAATTTTTATCCATCTCGAATAGTCCTGAATAATTTGTTTGATGTCTTTTGTCGAGTTTGCCGTTGAAAGTCACAAAATGATCGAAATAATTTCTCACTCGAATAACTTCGTAATTACTGAGTTCTGGATTATTTAAACGAAAAGGAAGAGTTTTTGATAGTTTTTAAAAATATATGTGTCCATTATAACCTTAGAACATATATGTTCTAAGATTATAACAGCGAAAATATCTTTTGAAAAATGCCAAATTTACATCCAACATTAGCACCGAATAGTTCTGAATAATTCATTTGATGTCTTTTGTCGAGTACTAAAGTTCCTGATATAACAAAATTTTTAATTTTTATTTAAAAAAATTCATAATGTGTGTGAAGCTGGCATATCATTTCGTGGGAAGTCATTAAATATTAAGAGTTCTGGGTGTATTTTCAATAGTTCTATAGTTCTAAATAGGTTAAACAAATAGTTCTAGCCATCGCGACTTTTAATATTCTTAATAAAACAAATTATAATAATTATAAAGATTCTATATCTCAGAGATTATAGTCGTATTATATCGTTTAGAGCTATATAATATTTACTTTTTTTTTTAACTTACCAAATGTCATTTAGAAATCTATCACTTTCGATTAGAACTCGTAATTTTTAACATACTTTCTATATATTAATTTAAAAAATTTGATAATTCGGAAACTACGTTTGCTGAAGTTATGCAGTTTTCGCTTTCTTTCTTATCTCATCAAGTGTAATTTAGAACTCTAACGTACCTATGTGAACCTGGCACCCGACTTTAAGAAAAAAATTTTTTCAAGTGCGCATTAAATTCAGCTCGGTTTGTACCCGTTTGTACCACCTTCCATTTTGTTTGTACCCTTAAGGGGGTACGATCGACACGGAAACAACACCCGCTTGCAGATTTAAAATATCTTAAAAAATGGCGAAGTAAGCTCTTACCCCAATTTTGAAAATTCGGTACAATCACCCCCTTAAGGGTACAAACGAAATGGAGGGTGGTACAAACGGGTACAAACGGTCCCAAAACAGCACCCGCTTGCGG